AAAACAAAAAAAAACCCCAAAATTCCTTTAATTGCATTTTAATCCTCAAAAGTAAAATAAAACAAATTAAAAAAAATTACATTTACTTCCTCCTTTCATTCTTCTTCTTTTTTTTTCTCCTTCTTTTCTTCCTCCTTCTTTTTTTTATCTTAAACTATTTTATTTTTACATCCCTTAGCTCAAACATTGTTTTGCCATTTTCTTATTTTATTTCACCCTCTTTTTTTCTTTTTTTTTATTACTACAACACCCTTCTAAAAAAAAAGGAAAGAAAAGAAAATCTTTTTTTTGTCATTTGATTTTTATTTTATTATTTTCTCTAATTACAAATTTTTAAACTAATATTTTTGTTTTTTTTTTTTGTTTCCGTTACATCAAATTATTACTTTTTTTTTATCTAATCCCACGACAAACGGTGATGTGATGAATATTATTTTTTTTTTTTTTTGGAAACAAAACGACGGAAAAAAACGTTTAAAAAAAAACAATTTATCGATGTAACATTATTAATGGTAGAATAAAAAAATCTTGGAATAAAATGGCGGTTGAGTATCACGTGTCTTCAATTTAATCATGTCCGATTTTTTTTTTTTATATTTTTAAATTCGTTTTCGACACGACGTTAGGTAAAATCAAATTTTAAAGAAGACATTTTGCGTACAGGTTGACGAAACTTAAAAAAAATATACGTCGTGTTAATTAATAGTTAATAAATACAAAAATGGCGGGAAAAAATCGTTATTTAAAAAATTTAATTACACGTCAACTATATAATTATATATGTAATAAATATTTTAAAAGGCGACGTGAAGATTTATACTTAATAATTTGAAAACCCTTCCAAAAAAAAAAGGTTTTTGAAAATTTAAAATTTTTCTTAAAACAAACTCGAATGTTTTCCCTTCTATTTTAACAAACAAACAAACAAAAAGACAGAGAGAGAGAGACAATCAGGCAGACAGACGTGAAATTCATTACATTATCAATTATTCTTTATCCAAATTCATTAAAGAAAACGAATTTAAACATTTTGCGGTTTTTACAGAAAGTTTCAATTTTGTATTTTCGAAATAATTTTCTTAATTGAAAAGGTGCGGTAAAAGCACATAGAGAGAGAGAGAGAAGAAATGTCTAGAGAAAAGGGAAAAAAAAGAAAGAAATGACGTGGTACTAGTGGTGGAGGTGGGGGTGGTGGTCACGAGAAAAAAAGAAAACTCGAGAAGGGTAAAAAAAAAAATTCATATTAAGTTTCCGGTTTAATACGATTTATGCACCGTACATGGAATTCCACGGCGGAAAAATCTTAGGGTAAAAAACATAATAAATTTATTTATTATTATTATTATCATCATCATCATCATTATTTTAACTCATTTTTTTAATTTCAAAGCTTTTATAATTTAAAAAAAAAAGCTCTGAATTTGTTTATTTTTCTTTTTTTTTTTACGTAAATTTTAATTAACTTTCATCTTAAATTATCTTCTCCCCAACAGCAAAACAAACAAAAACAAAAAAAAAAAAATTTTTTTTTCTTCATGTTGGTAGTACTGAGTTTAAATACCTGTAAAGTGTTTTGTTAATGAGAATAAAAATTTTTTTTTTATGTGAAAGGAAGGAAAAAGAATAATTATGAAATCAACTTGTAGAAAAAAAAAAAAAACTTTTGTAATTTTTTTTTTACCCCCTCCCCATCATTCCCTTTTGCATGCGAATTCAAATTTCTACCGGTCGTTTTAATCTCCCCTTTCCCTCTCTTCTCCCCCAAAAAAAAAATTTTTTAATATTTTTACTGCTGTTTCTTTAAAATACCACGAATCTAATTTTACATCTTTTCCAAAAAAAAAAAATTTTTTTTTTTTTTCGATTTAAATTTCCTTTTTCTTCCCGCCAAAAACAACAACCATTGTTTTCTTTTCTTTTTGTTAACTCGATTTATAAAAAAAATAATAAAAATTATTTTCCCTCTTTTGTTATGTTTTTAAATTAATGTTTTTAAGATAATAATAATAATAAAGTTTCCCGTAATATATATGTACGTGCGTAATAATAAATTGCGTGAAATTTTTTGTGCAAAGATTTAAATTTCGTATAACAATTGATAAGGATTTAAAAATAAATTAACCGATAAGAAGAAATGATAATGGAAAAAGGGCTTTAAATTAAAATCGATAAAAATAAAATAAAAAAAATTTCTCCAGCTCCCCTTTCCCCCTTTATTAATAATTAATTATTTTGAATACTGTAGCCATAACATCATTCGCAACTTTTCCCTCTCTCACTCTCCATCTTTCTTTCTTTTTTCCCTTTTTTTTTTTCCTCATCACCCCTTATACGCATAAACAAAAGGTTGAAGTAAATAATAATAATAATAATGATAAAGTGTGTGAGAGAGCGAGTATAAAAAATAACTCTGCCACCCAACGAGTAACAATTTTCTTCTTAATTAGTAAAACAATATATATAAATATATATATATAAATAAATAAATAAATAAATATATATAAGAATAACAGGAATAATTAATAGGACGATAAATAACAACAGCAACAACAACAACGGCAACAGCAACAACACACTAGGTCGTAAATGAGTTTTTACGCCCGGACTGCGTGGTAGGAAGGTTTAGGAGGCAGCAATGAGTGAGCGAAGGAGGGGGAAAGTGGAGAAAGAGAT